ACATGTTGTTTGTGTGTGAAGAAGTCTCTGGTGAACAGATGAGACAGAGTTTTGCAGAGACGCCATTTTGTGCAGTTTGTTTACAAACATATTCAACTGTGTGTTGTTGTATCTGTGTCTGGTGGACGTAGAAATGGTTTCTATGAGTTTTTAGCCACGATTCTGACGTTTCTATAGATACCACACATGTCTATGTTTACCTATGAGAACGCTGGTTAATAAAGAAAGAAAAAAATATGATTTTGCCCCCGATGGCGGGGGCGTGGAGGTTAAGAGGTTCTTTAAGAGGTTAAGATCATGTTGCCCCTCTCTGCTCTGCAGCATCTGCTCCAACTTTACCTCACAGAAGTTCTGTCCCATTTTTAAACTCAGATTTCAGGTTCWGTAAGTGTCAACAGATTCTTGTCTTCAGCTGTTTGCTGCTGTTAAAACCTCCTGAGACAAACAGGAAATGAACAAACAACTAAATGTAGATAAAAAAGGAGAAGCTCCACWTTCTGGAACCGCTGCATCAAACAGCTCTGAAACCCTGAGGGAGTGAGGTTCTGAGTCAGACCTTCAGYAAGTCCAGTTCTCCTGAATGGTTCTTGTGGCTCCAGCTGAGCGTTCTGGTTCCTGCAGGGTCGTCCCACACGAACCTCCGAGCCTCGCCTGGCTGCAGGTTCCAAGCCTGGGCCGATCCACTGGGGGGAGGGGAAAGCAGTTTATGCTGAATGTTTTGTGCAGAGCCTGAGCTTAGTGCTGACCTCTGACCTCTGACCTCTGCCTGTAGCTGATGCTGACCCAGGCTGTGTGGTTGATCAGCAGGGCGGGGGCCGCGCCTTCGTAGTAATCCGTAAAGCTGATGATGGAGGCGTTGGTGGAGATGCTGACGTCCACGATGACACCGCCGCACTGCAGAGAGACACGCGGGTGAGAAACCAGAAAACACAGACGGGTTCTGACCCGGTCAGGACCCCGAGACGCTCTCACCATGTCCAGGCTCAGCAGCGTGCCGCTGTCCTGCCGGTCGAAGAAGAAGGACTTGGAGCTGGACTCGGAGCCGACCACACGGACGCACAGCTTCCCCGAGGTGTTCATGGGCCACAGAGGGAGACACTATAACAGAGGCAACACCGTGAGAACACATCCTGCCAGGAGGGTGAAATACAAACTGCTGCTGGTACTGGTCATCATCAACCTGTTTTCTTCAGAACCGCAGAGTGACGAGACAAAAACTGTGACAGATATGGGAGAACAGGATGTTCTAATTCCTGTGAGTTTGTAAGAATAAATAAATAAAACTAATAAGACTTCTGTTTGTGTCCAAACGACCAGCAGACTGAGCTGCTGCCTTTCAAACATGTTCGTTAAATTGAGATTTAAAATATTATGGTTCATTTAATTACAAGATATATTAATGCTGTTGATCTGTGTTTGTGTACTTTGAACTCATGTCTTATGGATGGGAATGTTTACCTTTGTAACTTGTTTATTTAGCTTGTGGAGCAGAATTAAGTTTACGGCCCACTATTAGGCTGGGTCTGGAGATGAACTGGGGGTTAACTCCTGGAGAGAACAGGAGACTGCAGGGTCGTATAACATGMGGACACTAAAAAACACATTAAAAATGCCAGATCAATGTGTATGTTTAAGGAATGATAAAGGTTAATTTACTGGAGAAATATGTAAAGGTATGAATTGTTGTTCAAGGAGTTAAACCTTGTAAACTAAAGATTATTTTTGATTGAATTTATTTATTTGAGAAAAAGGGGCAAATATAAGATTTTTTTTCTTCTACTACCTTTCATTTAATTTATTTGTATTTTTGTTGTTTGTTGAATTTATGTTGTTGTTTTTAAAGAAATGAATAAACTAACTAAACACTCAACCCTCTTTGAAGAGGACCCTTTAAAAGCCTGACAGCTGTACAGAAATTCAGTTCATGCTACAGTATAAAGAGAGCTGCTTGTTCATCATTCCTTGTGTCTTGATAATTAATTTATCCAACAAAAGATCAACCTGAAAACATTCAGGYCAGTTTTTAATAAAAACAGTTTATCATCCATGTGGATTTCAGACCTGAGCATTCTGCGTCATTTTCCTGGATGTTTTCTGTCATATGGAGAGTTTCCATGGTTTTAAAAACAAATTAAAGTTCTTTAAAGCTGAGGAACTGAACTGAGACAGTTCCATGGCTCACATGTGGAAAATGAGAACCTCCCCAAAACAAAACGCTGTACGCCAGTTTGTTTCCAACATTCACATCCCAGCGAGATGCTTAAAAACGTCAGCAGAGTTTTGGCAACGCCTCCATCAGAAGCTGAAACCAGGATCAAAGTAAACAAACAGATCTAAATAATAACGTAAAGAAATAAAAAAATTGACTCAAACATCTGCTTAAAGCAAACCTGGACAGGAAAACTTTTATCTCCAGCTGCTAACAGTTTGAAAGGAGACGTTTGTCGCTCTGTGAGGGCTCTAGAATCACCTCGGTGGAGGGGATGTAGTGCCACCTGGTGGAGGACTCTCTGATCAGCTCTCCAACCTCCAGCTCGTACGACGACTTGTTCACCAGCGTGTAGAAAGGAGTCATGGTGACAATCCTGGTCAGGTTAAAGCTGCTCAACTGGATGCTGACGCCCACCTGCAAGCCCAAACACAAACACCTCGTCAGTGCCTGGGAGACAGAGAAGGTGGAAAGAAAAACGTCTGGATTAACAAGAGAAATGTTAAAAGAACCGTACCAGGAAGTCCATGTTGTTAGCAGGGCAGCGCACGCAGCCGTAACTCCCCACCGTGTCCAARGAGAAGCTGTCAGACCAGGAGCTGGTGGAGATGCACAGCTGGATCTGCAACGAGTTTCATGCATGTGACCAAAACATCTGCCTGACACCCCCGAGGAGGGGAGGGATTCATCCACAGGGGAGTTTAAAGCTGGAAAACTTCAACTACAGTGGAAATTAAAACAAGAAAACTAAAGGAGAAAGATTTGAGATTAAAAACAGAAAGTTGAGAATAAAGTTGTGACTTTATATGTGAGCCATCATATCGAAATGAGGGTCAAGTCAAATTTGGTCAAAATGACCTCATTACATTTTCAGATTCTTGTCTTTAAAAGCTACATTTTGATACCTGGATCATCCTGATATCATAATTAAATCCATATATATGACTTAATTTGTCTTGTTGGTTACAATAATACATAAATATTTGGTCTGAATCCTAATTTTATGTCATTTTAATGATGAATTTTTTTATGTCCTTATAAAGAGGAAACCTCAAATTATATTTGAATATTGAAATTTCCCAGCTGAAATGAAACTAAAACATTGCTAGCTCACAGGGAAAATCTAAAAATTTTAAGGCGTTTTTCCTCAAAACCAGTTTTTTTGTTGCTACTGCTCAAAAAAGTGCTTCAAATTTTTGTTTTATTATATTTCAGACACTTCATTCAAATGATATATTGATAAAGCATTTATTCATTACGTTTTGACAAAATGAAATTTTTGCAAACTTTTTAATCAAAACACTATTTTTGCAGATTTCTCCTTATACCACTTTTAGACTTAATCCTCGTTTCGATGTGATGGGTCACATGAATCTAAAATATTTAGAACCAATTTGTTGAGATTAAAGTCAAAATATGAGGGTCCTGTCTGGGGGTCTCACCTTGCTCTTGCTGAACAGGCTGCTCTTCCTGAASGAGAACAGGATCACGTCTCGGTACTCAGCGGGGTGCTTGAAGCTGACTTCCTCGGACCGGTACTGGAGGACTCGGGACGTCTTGTTGATGATCCAGTACGGGCTGAAGAGCGACATCACCAGGCGGCCCGTGGTCCTGGACACGTGCACGCTGACGTCCACCGTCGTCTCGCTGTCCGAGTCGCAGGTGAGGCACACCGTGAAGAACTCCGCCATGTCCGGCCTGATCCTCATGTGTCCGTGCCAGTGGTGGCCCTGGTACTGGATCAGCGCCAGAGAAACGATCTCACCAGAGACCCGAGCGTTCAGCAGGTCCGACGTGCTGCCTTCATCAAGCTCACAGAAGTCTGCTGAGTTCTGAGGAACATAAACTGACAGCTCAACTTATTATTGACAACAAACAGAAATAAAACACTTCTAACAGAAGCAGAGCTGCCTTAACATTATGACCACTGATGAGTCATGCAGAAACACAGACACAGAGTCAGGAAGGACCAAGGATCAGGAGTGAAGGCTGGTTTATGTTCAGATCCAACAGAGAAGATTCTGGACCTCCAAACTGCTCAAAATGTTCACCCAGAACTCACTGAGAACACCAGTTTGATGCCTTTGTGTCAGGGGTCCATCTAAAGATCCAAACCTTCAAAAGACCACAGCAGACCTTCAAAAGACCATTGCAGACCTTGAAAGGACCAAGGAAGACCTTCAAAGGACCAAGGCAGACCTTCAAAGACCTTCAAAGGACCACAACAGACCTTCAAAGGACCAAGGCAGACCGTCAAAGACCTTCAAAGGACCACAGCAGACCTTCAAAGGACCAAGGCAGACCTTCAAAGACCTTCAAAGGACCAAGGCAGACCTTCAAAGACATTCAAAGGACCAATGCAGACCTTCAAAGACATTCAAAGGACCAATGCAGACCTTCAAAGACATTCAAAGGACCAAGGCAGACCTTCAAAGACCTTCAAATGACTAAGGCAGACCTTCAAAGACATTCAAAGGACCAAGGCAGACCTTCAAAAACCTTCAAAGGACCAAGGCAGACCTACAAAGACCTTCAAAGGATCGAGGCAGACCTTCAAAGACATTCAAAGGACCAAGGCAGACCTTCAAAGACCTTCAAAGGACCAAGGCGGACCTTCAAAGACATTCAAAGGACCAATGCAGACCTTCAAAAACATTCAAAGGACCAAGGCAGACCTTCAAAGACCACAGCAGACCTTTAAAGACCTTCAAAGGACCAAGGCAGACCTTCAAAGACATTCAAAGGACCAAGGCAGACCTTCAAAGGACCAAGGCAGACCTTCAAAGACCATAGCAGACCTACAAAGACCTTCAAAAGGACCACAGCAGACCTTCAAAGGACCAAGGCAGACCTTCAAAGACCTACAAAGACCTTCATAGGACCACAGCACATCTACAAAGGACTACAGCAGACCACAGCCCTCTTAAAGAGGTCTACAGTAGTCCAGAAAGCATGCTGTTATGACTAAATGGATTCAGATATTGTGAATATTTTTAATTTCCTGATTAGTCTGAGATGTTCCTGCAGTACCTCCATCATGTAGCGGACGTTGTAGGGCAGCAGGTTACGGAACGTGGCCACGGGGTGCAGGTGGATGATGTAGGCGGGATCCCAGTCCTCCTCACCACAGCTGGTGATGTGCCGCAGGTCGTCAGGGACGGCCAGCGTGCTGACCACCAGGGGCAGCAGGCTGCTGTCTGTGGCCGGACACTGCAGCACCGAGCGCACCTCCGAGCTCTGATGCACCTGCTCCTTCCAGGACACGCAGCTGGAGGACGCAGCATACTGACCGTCCAGATGTCCTCCTGGACGCACGAACAGCTGACACCTGCGAGACATGATGAGACGCTACTTCTCTTTACCGTACCATCAGTATTTAAAGAGCACTTTAAACACCCACAGGACCAAAGTGCTGTACACATAATAAAAGACGCAAACATTCATAAAATCAATGTGTTACAGTAGTCCAGCCGAGTGGTAACAAAAGCATGGACTACAGTTTCAAAATATGTCTGAGGGAGAACTGGCTTTACTTTAGCCAGCTGCCTCAGATGGTAAAAACTTGATTTGACAACTGTTCTGATGTGGTTCTCAAACTTAAGTCCAGCGTAAACTTTTACCCCTAGATTAGTAACCAAAGGCACGATGCAATGGGACAGTAAACCAACATCCATATCAGGTGTCTTAGTGGAGCTTCAAAAGATCATCACCTCAGTTTTGTTCTCATTAAACTGTAAAAAATTCACTGTCATCCAGGCTTTTATTTCCTCTAGACATAAAAACAGAGGGCTCAGTGAGTCGGTGTCCTTTTTCTTTAATGGGACATATATCTGGGTGTCATCGGCGTAACAATGAAAAGCAATATCAAATTTCCTAAGTATAGAGCCGAGAGGGAGCAGGGACAGCGCGAAAAGGAGGGGTCCTAAAACTGAGCCCTGTGGGACCCCACACAAAAGAGGAGCAGAAGAGGCTACACTAGTTGCGTTTCCCTTGACCATGAAAATGCGGATATTAGAATTTCGAAAATAAATTTGCTCAATGGAAACACGTCAATTTCGAAAAAAAATACGTTTTTCTACAAAATGTTTTTGCGCTAGGAAAAGGTGGTTTTTCGGCCGTATCGAAATTGATGTATTTTGCAAAACTGCAATGGAAACACTTTTTTCGCATCACGGGAGTAACGTGATCAACAACCGGCTGTTTGTACTGGCGAAAATACGACAAAGAAGAAAATAACAGGAAGTAAAAGTAGTAGTGAAATCACCGAAGAAGTAAAAGAAAGTATTAAACTCACCGACTACATCTTCCCAAAAACGCAGCATACGTAGCCGCTCCCAAGTATAAGGGGCTTGTCACTCGAAAGCCTCGATAAAAGAAAAAGATACCGACGTCTCCTCTGATGATGAGCGCTAGTGTCGTGGTAGCAACATGCTATGTGTTTACATCCACTGACGCCATGTTTGTAATGATTTATCGCGAGAACAAAAGTATTCACGCGTGACTTTAATAGCATTTCTTACTTAATCAAAACACAGCAATTGCGAAACTGTGTTTTTCCGACATTAACAAAATACTGGCTAAGTTTTGCGCACATTTGCAATGGAAACGCAGCTAGAGTCACCAAGACGGACATAAAGTAGGCTCAGCTAAGTAGGACCTAAACCAGTCTAGCACCGTCCCACGACAGCTTTCACAACAGAAACCATCAAATGACTGAACGTGAAGCGAACCGATCCTGCGACAGCACCTGTATGCTTCCAAAGTGACGTGAAACTCCTTCTCAGGTTCAGCTGTTCCCACGCTCTGCAGACTCCTGGAGCGTGGACAATACTTCAGGATGACAAAAGGCACAGAGAAGTGGTTCTTAATCTGAAAACACAAACAGGAAGCGTTTATGACGGCGACATCGTCATCACTGATGCGTGTCCGAGCCGTGTGGATGTGTGGTCAGACCTGCAGCGGCGAGCGGACAGTGATGACCTTGTTTCCCTCGGCGGCGTCGATCTGCAGCAGCACAGAAACCGCCTCCGGCAGCATGGGCCCRCGGACATTGAAGAGGCGCCGCCCCGGCCTGTCCACGGGTATGTTGGAGATCTCGCTGTATCCGGACGGCACTGCGGGTTCAGAGACAGCTTCGTTTAGTCTGCGTGTCGGAGCAGGAGAAGAAGAAACGGAGGGGGAGGGGTTCTGACCGACAGTGAGGTTGAACAGGCAGCTCTCCTGGCGCTGGAGAGCCGACAGTTTGCCCCTGAGCGACGACTCGAACACGGAGTGGACCAGGTCCATGCTCTGGTCCGCCGGCAGCTCGTGAAGTTTTCCACGAGCCGGATCTCCAACCAGCCTCAAGTTGGCGCTGTGCTGCACGATGAGAGGAATCCCCAGAGCGTTCCTGAGGGTGAAGGGGGGCTTCTCCTTCAGGGTGTAATCAAAGGTCGAAGCTGTGCCCTCTGAAAACGCCTGCGGGAAAACAAACCAGCTAAACTCACGTGTCAGAGGTGCTGAGTCAGCAATTACTGTTTTACTGTTTCCCATCTAAATATTTTGTGTTGTTTTAGTCATTTATACATCAAAATGTTCTGTTCATTCAAGAGATGGGTGCTGGGAAATTAGTTCTTTCAAAAATATAAAAATATTCAACTTTAATTACAATGTTCCCCTCAGAAACACTTTGAGATTTCTGCAACGCCTTCAAAATAATATTTTTTAATTTAATTTCATCTTATGCT